ATGCAGACCCTTGTGCACTAGAGAGGCTACTTTATGGATGTCAATTACAGAGGCTACTTTATGACCTGTTCTGAAGGCTGATTATGCCAGGGTTTTTGACCAATAGGGAGTCTACCCCCATGTACACGCCAGAACACTATCCCCACCAAATGACATTGTCATAAATGGAGTAACTGTCCCCGCTGTTATTCCGAGAAACCTCCTATATGCTTCCCTCCCCCTTTGCCTTGGCTTATCAAACTAATCTCAGAGAACCAGGCAAAAAAAGATTTTGTTACGTTCTCAGTGAGTGTAGAATGGTAGTTGAATGTGCATTTGGCAGACTGAAATCCTGCTGCTGCCATTTCAATAACTCTTGGTACTGTAGTGCCATCAATGCTCCCCCTATTACTGTGATTACTATGTTCTTCACTATTTTTGTTAAGTCCTAAATGGACCTATTATAGTAATGGATTGTTGAACCAATATATTCAGCCCAACAAGTGCTTCTGTCAATGCTAGGACAGGATGCACATGGGTAAACAGAAGACAGGGATGCTCTGCGCTCCCACATTACAGACCAATAAATGAGGGAGACTGTAAGTGCATGAATATGTTTTTAAATCAATGTTAGTATATTATATGAAGTGCTATTGCTGTACATAGTGAATGGGGGGGAACTGTCATGAATTTGAATTATAGATGAAATTACTGCTTATGAAATGGTATGGTGGAGTACTGTCTGAAAACAGAAATTTTATTATAAATTGATGTAAACTGATATATTAAGAAACTGTGTTTGGACACAATGTCCCAGTTTTACCTTATCATGTGTTTATCTTTATTATTTGAAATAATCATATGATGTGATACAGGGATTTAATAAACTGCTTTAATAAAATAAAAGGCTTTATTTGTGAACATGGCTGTATTACAAAAAAACCCCACCCTAATATTAAAACATCGTCAGACAGGACAGCTGCCATTACAACACCACATCAATAATAAACCAGTCCCAAACAAGCAATAAATAAAGCGCATAAAACAAGCACTGAACAATGCAAACCAGTGCCAACAAATAAATCCCATACATTTGCTTGGCCCCTAACCTCCTTCTTCTCCTTTTCCATTCTTGAGTATTTTAACATGCACTTGACACTTCTGCAGGGAGAGGAGGCCTACAGGAGGTATATTTGTCCTATCCAGATAGCTTTGAGTTCTGATTGGTTGGGCCACTGAGTTCATGGCCTGCAACATGTGGTAATATTGAGGGGTCTCAGGACATGTCATGGGTGTGGCAGACTGTACTCTTGTGGCCATTAGCACAAGCAGACTCTCAAACAGGTCTTTGCATTGAACTGCAAGTCTCTCTATGTGAGCCACAATTCTCTCTTCATGCTCTGAAGCCTTTTCCATGCCTTCCCATTGCCATGAATCCTTTTCCCTTTGGTACTGCACCTGCTTGTTACTCCAGTCCAGAATGTCCATCACAAGATCATCAGGGAAATGTTTCTTTTTGGACCACTCTCTGACAGTTTGAAATCCCAGGGTCCTTCTCGAGTGTATCTGAGCTGCCAAGATACAAGGTCTTGCAGAAGTTGAAGGACCTGAAAGCAGGTATAACACAAGATATTGTCATTTCAGTACTTTAAAAGGTTCAGTGCATCCGCAGAGAAACGTGTCTGTGGAATCTCAATGCCCACAAATGTAAAACACTGCTTCAGTATATTATCAGAGGAACACTTTGGTTCCCAGAAACTGGGTGCAACTGAGTTAAGCAGAGTAAAAAGAACACAAACAATGATATGGCAAAATTTACAAATTCTATATGTTTAAAAATTGCAGATCGCTGTAGCCTGTTGAAGAGTTTACTGTTTACACGTACTCAATATTATGTAGCATGGCCAGTTTGTATGGTAGCTATGTATTAAAAGAGAAGACAATATAAAGGGTTTTACTTTTAGAACTGTTACACATAATTGTAGGAATGAGTTGAGTACCAAGTTAAACTTACATTTTGAATGCTTAATTACTGTTTGTGTTTCCCAGTCACCAGTCTGAATTCCCAGGAGAAGGTGCTGGTACATGCCTCATCTTTAGCAGATAAATGCAATTTGCTACCTCTTGTAATACATTTTACAGTGGGTCATAAATTAGAAATTTCTCCCATTCCTATACAACAAACATGGAGCCAGAAACTTACCAAGCTCTGGGACTACTTATGTCTCTTCTATTTTTGCTGCCAGTTCTGCGACAAGCTCCTCTCCTTGGGGAACCACCAAATAGCTCCTTTGAATATGGATCCAGGATGTGCTGCAGCTGCTAAAGTGACAGAACCTCCTTATAAACCACTGTGAGCACCAGAGTCACTTCACTGAGTCTGCTGGCTCCCCTCTTGTATGGGAATAGTTCAGGAGTCAGAAGGTCATCATCCCAGCTGACCAGGCTACCCTGACTCAGTGCTTTCTGCAGTACCCAGCATCTAGTCAAATTTCTCATAAAAGAGACAGAATGACGTAGCGCTCCCAAAAGTGTGGCTTTCAACCCTGGCTCTCAGTTGTCTTGAGCTGCTTAATCCACTCCCTGCAGTCTGCTGAATTTTTCCCTCTCCCCACCCCCTGCTGTCAGTTCATCTGCAGTTTCTTAGTGAAGAGAAGCTTCTTGCTTGCCTCGTGCCAGAGATTAACCAAAATCTGACTATAGTTCATTCACATTGTGAACAATGTGTTTGGCAGTGAACTTCTTTTCATCGGTGGCCATAGCTAATGCAGGAGATACGGTAGTTCATTCTATTGTTTGCAGCTCAGCAGTCAGAATACAGTGTTAAATGTTGAGCAGCTGTATTTGAACCTGTAGGATTGCTTCCATTCTGGGAGTTGACTGGCTAGTCTTGAGACAGAAAGAATAAGGAACACAGGGTAATGGCACTGTGTGATGGAATTGGCAGATTGTCAGGATATGAGTCTAGGTGACCCAGAGCCAAGCTGCATCCGCACTACAAAATGATGCACTGTGGACTAGTGGGACTCGGGACTGGACAAAACCCTCTTGCTGTGTCCTAGGCTCTGGGTCCAAGGGCTTACTGGCCTTAGTCAGCTTTGTGTGTAGACAGAATGACGGCAGGGCTTGAGCTCAAGCCTGAGTGTAAGCCCAGGGTTACATTGCACTGTAGACATGCCCTCAGTGTTGTGTCTTCAACATCACAGAGCCCCAGCTATATAATAAGGGACGTGCTGTGGTATCCTCTCAACACATCAGCCAACAGAACTTGCTGAATGTAAAGATGGCACAGGAAATGAGAACAATAACTGTCCTTTGCAATGGGCTGTTCAGATTACTACCTCTCTGGTCATAGAGGGAATCATTCTATTTACCTCCTAGGATGGTAAAATCCTAAGGGAAAAAATCTAATTCTAGACGAATGTGTGCATATCTGCATATCTTCAGATATCACCACCGGAAATATATACGCCCACCAAACTCATACAGACTCCTTCCCCTGCCCAGAAACAAACAACCAACCTCCAAGCTGCTCACCATGGACCTACAGAATTTTGCAAAGCTGAGGTACATATGTGTGTTAGAAATTAATTATAAGTCCTTTCCAAGACAGATGCTAGTGATCTGAAACTCTAGCAATAATTCTACTTTGAATAAAGGAGACAATTTAATTTGAGCAGTTTTAGACTGATACTTCAGATAGAGAAATGTCACTACTAACGTATCAGTGTAGAAGAGGAACAAAGAGTAACTGGTATCATTTTTATATCATATGCTGCATCACGTATAATCTTAGTAGTATGTGAAAGAGCCCTAAAAATAAAAGATAAGTGTTTTCTGTCCAACACATACGGGCAGTCAATATATTTCTGTCCTTGCCCAATCTGCTGTCGTTCATGACCATTTAAAAATCATTCTACTGCACAACAGTTGTGTGGGTATAGTATACTCTTGTAACACCAAATAATATAAATCAAAACCTAATTCAAAGTAAATTTTCATAGCAATATGTTGAGCTCAAGCAACATATTTACTGTATGTATTTACTGATCTTCTATAACACTGTAATTGAATCACAGAGAATAAAAGCTATTAGGACCAAATGGACTAATAGGTCATCTAGCCCATCCCCCTTCCACTATAGAATGTATTTTCTAGTACTATGTCCAATCTAGCCTTACTATAATCTTTAATACTTTTATGATAAAACTGACTCTCTTAGTCACTATTTAAGATTTATATATGAGAGAGGAATGCAAGGGAATAAAGCATTTTAAAGTTTATAGCTCTAGTGAAAACACTTCATTGAAAAGTAAGAGCTGTACATACGTATGCAGGATTCAACTGAAGTCATTACTTGCTATAAAAGCATGTTGCTTATGAAAAAATATTTCATCCTAGCATATTTTATTTTCAGAATTAGTGAACATCATACATCTATGCTCAAAGTGTATTTTCTTCCAAGTGCTTGAGTCTACTCAATTACTGAATTTGAAACTGGCTAACATAAAAGCAAAAAGGAAACATAAGTTATGACAAATCTGAACACTTAGGCTACGTCTACATTGGCATGATCTTGCGCAAATACTCTTTAACTCAAGAGTTCTTGCGTTAAAGTATTTTCATAAGAGAGCGTCTACACTGGCATGTGCCTTTGCGCAAGAGATGTGCTTTTGCGCAAGAGCATCTGTGCCAGTGTAGACACGCTCTTGTGCAAGAAGCTCCGATGGCCATTTTAGCCATCGGGCTTTCTTGCGCAAGAAATTCATGTTGCCTGTCTACACTGGCCTCTTGCGAAAGAACAGTTGTGCAAGAGGGCTTATTCCTGAGCGGGAGCGTCATAGTTCTTGTGCAAGAAGCACTGATTTCACACATTAGAACGTCAGTGTTCTTACGCAAGAACTCCCCGCCAGTGTAGATCCCTGCTTTGGCGCAAGATCGCACCAATGTAGACACAGCCTCAAAGCTGCCGCTGTTGATCTTTCAGGGTTTGAATTAACAGGTCTAGTTAAGACAGCTAATTTGAACTGAGAGGAGACCTCTGGTTGATGCCAGTAACCCTGCCTTCACGAGGAGTAAGGGAAGCCAAAAAGAGTGTTTTCCCTTTCACTTCCTGGAGTGTAGATAGTGCCAAAAGCCGAGTTAAGCTACTTTGACTTCAGCTATGCAATTAATGTAGCTGAAGTTGCATATCTTAATTTGACTTTGTCCCATAGTGTAGATGTATCATCTATTATTGAATCAAACCACAAGAAATCTCTTTCTCTAGTTATCTAGTTACCATCTTGAAAACTAATACAATATATTTATTTTTATATTAAAAAGTATCTGAATCTACATATTGATAAACAGGTTTTCCTTTCTTTTAATAAAAAAAATATGGAGGTCAATTCACTGATAATATGAATGTATTGGTACCAAAGATAAGGCACTGTGCTAATTCAAGAATGACATTTAAAGAAAACAAAACACACACTTTGATTACTGTGCTTTCTAGGACTAAACAGCTCATCTACATAATAAGGAAACAGGACTGCCAAGAATATAGTGTAAGGAACTGAATTCATTAGCAATTTTTGCCTCCTGTCCATTAAAAAATAAAAAGAAAGTGCTGGAAAAAATACTATTAGATAAATAATGTAAATATACCTGTAAAAGTGGGTATTATATCAACCTAAATAATACTTGATTGTATGCAGAGGAGAACTGAACTGCTTTAGTCACAGCTATTTCACAAGACAGTGCAAAAGACCCCTAATAACAGTTTGTGGAGTCTTCTTGGTGACCTAGGGAGACATAACCCTGGATACACTACAAACATATGTTGATATAATTGCAGCACACAGGGATGTGGAAAAACTACACCCTCAGTGCTGAAATTTTACTGACCTAACTTCCAGCATAGGTAGCGCTATGTCAACAGGAGTGCTTCTCCCATTGATATAGCTATTGCCTCTTGGGGAGGCTGAGTATCTGTGCAAGCAGGAGTAGCTGTTCCATCCCTGTAGGCAGCATCTTCACTAGGTGCCACAGAGAGGCTTAACTGTAGACAAGCCCTCAATAAATCATAAAGGAACAGCTTGATCCTGGAAAATGGATTATTTTACTTTTGTTTGCTTTACAGCTCTCTCTTCTATCCCACACTAACCAATAGCCAGCCACTTATTTAGAGGAAAGAAGATTTAATTTGAGGGGTGCTGCTATAGAAAACAGCATAAAATACCATATCCTAACAGGGCATGAATTTGATAACGTGTTAAGAAACAAAACCAAAAGCTGTTGTTTGAATAGTTTGCTACAATGTTTTTATGTAATAGCACCACACTAGTGTGTGAAAAAGCACAGTTTCAGCAGCACATACCAGCAGATGGTGTCACAAACTGAAAGTGATGGAAATCAAATGAACAAAAAACATTGTTCCAAAACCAGAATTGGTTTCAAGAAAAACAAAAAACAACCCCTCCCCCCCCCCAAACACACCTAGCCTCTCCACCCAGTTATATGGAAGAAAAAAATTCTCTCATCAGGTTGGCATCTCTTTCATATTCGGATCTTCTCACATGCTCAAATTTCCCCCATCTCCCACTGACATCAATGGAAGTTCTTGAAGAGAAAGCAGAATATCTTCCATTTGCTATGTGGCTCCAAAAACAGAATGTTGTTCTGAATGATGTAAGCTGCTTCTATTACCTATTCTATAGATCTTCTCAACAGTTTAGAAGAGAATAAAGGAAACAAATCTCTGATTGGTCCACGAGTAAATCTTCTTGCATACAAGATGGACTTTCTTTGGCCATCACCTCAGATTTCCAGATATATGAATTCCAAGGAAAATATGACTTACAAATACTGAGCATTTTCATAGCAAGAAGGTGGCTCTGGAGGGGAGAGAGTTACTGTGACATAACCACATATATAAAAGTATTTAGTTTCCTACACTCTAATTGTTTACAACCTAAAAGTCTCCTACTTAAATAATAACACATTCAGAAGCAGAGTTGCAATACTTCTCAAAAGTAATAGCTGCAGCCTTCACAGGGAGAGAGCACTGTGGTAAGAATTCTTTGTTTCCACATACTGTTTACCATGTTAACTTGTAATCAGACAGAATTATAATCAAATTAAACAGCAATACTATTAGGAATATATTAGTGAAATAACACGCATCCTCCACAGAAAAGATTTTTAAAAGATACCCAAATACTACATTATATCAGTATCTGTAAAACTGTTTCATAACCTCTCCCCTCACCCCACCAAGATTGTGTCCATGCATATAAGGCAGCTGAAAGTCAGTAAAAGATTTCATAGCATCAAGGCTAAATTCTTAGTCTTTGTTGCAAAAAAATAAAAAATTGTCAAGGATGAAATCTTGATTGTTAACACCAAATACTAATAAGAAAAAGCACAGAAACATGGCAGGAAACTTGCCATTTCCATATAACTTACAACAAAAGATCCTAACATTCACATGCTTTAAAACACATTAAGAAACCTGAGTGAAAACATTTTACTGATAGAAAGCTACCAACTAATCAATTTGTTCTTTTTAAGTTCATTTGTCAGTTAAGTGCTTAGAACACATAGGTAGACTCATTTATATGAGCCTATACATACAGTATGTCACATGCTGTTGTTTCCCACAGAGCGGGATTGTTTTTAAATGAAGTGGCCCTGGACATGCAGATAGTGTGGCAAGGGAAAGGTTAAGATCAATAAAGAACCCAAATGATCTTATCAGAAAAAGTTTTGTTTTACTTATATAACTTCTAGTCAGATTTTCCATTCTTATGCATTTTGTCTTCCTCTTGTCCAATGAGACAAATAACTTTGTAGCATCCCTTTGTAATTTTGACCATCCACATCAAGTTCATCACATCCAAGACAACACTAGAGAAAATCCAGGCGCTTTGGGCTGCAACTCCTATTCTATGGAAAGCCTCTGTCCCAAACACAGAAATGACATTGCCATAATAAATAGGCATGACTGCAATCCTCACTATGAAGAAAACAACTGTCATCAGTACTCCATTGATGATGTTGGCTTTTGAAGATTTGGGGTAACCAAGCACTTCAAAGAACCACCTGCAAGACAGAAGTGTACACAAAACCAAAGAAGTTTCAGATATTTCAAATCCCTTTTTATAATCAGTTACTATTCATCATTTTATCCACAAGCCCTCCCAGTCCTAAAATGGTGCCTAGTATTGTGGTGTCATCTAAAGCTCTTTCGACCAGTGAATTGCCTTGATTCAAAGCACCATGTAATCTCCATTACTACCTAAAAAAGTTTTATAATAATGTTTTAAGAACTCGAATGTACAATAATCTCCTAATTTGAATTGTAAATTAATATGTAATATAATAAGTGTGCATTTTCATTGCTATTATTGTAGCGTAAAGGAGTGGTTTTCAACCCTTTTTTTTCATTTACAGACCGACCCTTAACATTTTTCAATAGAGGCTTTGGAAATCTTAGACTTAAACTGTGAACCTCCAAGGGTCTTTGGAACACAGGGAGACAATCATTGCTGTAGAGCTTGGATAATTGGTTTTGTAAAGTAACTTTAACACGACAATTGTGAAATAATTTGGTTTTAGTTCTTTGAATATTTTAATTAGCACTGCCTGATGAAAAACTGGTATTCAATATTTTTAAAGAAGTGTCAATTTCTCACCTTGTGCAGTAACAGGAGTTCTTCAAGATGGTGCCCCGTGGATGCTCCACACTGGCCTTGGTGCCATCCCAGTGCAGGTATCAGAGATTTTGAAGCAGTCCCTGTAGGGGGCTGCACATGCACAGCACCAACCGACACGTGATTTCCAATGGGCACTGCGCCTGTGCGGACTGCACTCTCCAGTTCCTTCTCTACCCCAGAGGCCTTATAGGTCCAAAGTAGGAGGAGAGCAGGTCGTGAAGCATCACGGGGACACCATCTCAAAGAACTCCAGTTACTGCACAAGGTGAGTAACTCCACTTCTTCTTTGAAAGATCCCTGTGGATGCTCCATGCTGGGTGATTTGAAAGCAGTATCATCATTCGGAGGCTGGGGCTTTGGAATATTGTAGAAGGCCAATGATAAAACCGCAGAGCCCACAGAGGTATTCTGCATGTAAGAGAGTGTGTAGTGCTTGGAAAAGGTAAGTTGTGATGTCCAGGTGACTGCCTTGCAAATGTCTGAAAGTGAGACATTGCGTAGGTATGCAGTGGTAGAGGATACGGCCCCAGTGGAATGAGCCGTCAGAGTTAAGGGTGGTTGTAGGCTCTTCAGGGTGTAACAAAGCCTTATGCAGTCGGTGATCCATTTGGACAATTTCTTTTTTGATATGGGTGGCTTTTTAACCCATTTGTTAAATGCTAAGAAGAGCCAAGGGGATTGCCTAAAGGGTTTAGTTCTCTTCAAGTAAAAAACTAGTGAACACCTGATGTCAAGAGTGTGCATGGAAGCCTCAAATGCATTGGCATGTGGTTACAGAAAGAATACAAGTAAGTTTAGTGGTTCATTTATATGAAATGAGGAGGCCACCTTAGGTAAGTATTTTGGTGAGTACAGAGGGTTACTTTATCAGAGTGGAATATTGTTAAAGGTGGGTCAACTATGAGTGCCTCCATATCTCCGATGCAGTGGGCCAATGTTAGGGCAACCAGCAAAGCAACCTCATGGAGTGGTATTCCCAAGAGCAAGGTGAGGGAGGCTCAAAGGGTGCTCTGGTGAGAGCCTGTAGTACCAGATACAGATCCAAGGATGGTATGAATTGTGACATGTCAGGATGTAGGACACGCAGCCCTTTAAGGAACTTCTTGGTTGTGGGGTGAGTAAAGACAGAACAATCCTCAATTTGGGGATGAAAGGCTGTTATGACTGCTAGGTGAACTTTAACGGAGCTGAACGAGAGTGATGACTGTTTTAGAATGAGGAGGTAGTCCAAGATGAGTGACAGTGGCACTGATATCAGATCATGTCCTTCGGGAGTGCAACATGCTGAAAAGCTTTTCCATTT